CCCTTGGCCTTGGGTCTTCCGGCACCTGCCCTCTCCTATCTGCCTCTGTCGGCTGCTTGCACAGGGCAGCCAGTGACCCTTTACAAATGGAACTTGGTCATGTTGCTCCTGGTTGAGCCTTTTGCACGCTCTCCCCTCCTGGGAACAAACGGGATGCGCGGTCTGTCCGACAGCAGGTGCGCATGCACTTCGGTCCTAACACAGTCTCCGCACATTCCTGGGTCCTTGAATTCACTTCCCTCATCCCGCCCAAGAGGTTTCTTTCCTTTTCTTTCTTCTTCTTTTCCAGTTTCTGGAAAGCTCCAGGTTCCCCTGCGCTGGGGTGGGCTGCATTCCTGTTACCCTGGGCGTGTGGGGAGCCAGTCCTTTGCGTCTGGGCAGCGTCCTCCAGGAACTTGCCACCTGCCTCCCGCCCCGCCCGCCCTCCTCTGCGTTAGATTGTACCCACACACCATCTTTCCCGGAAGCTGTGCTCTGCAACCTTTACAAGGGTCCCCTCCTCCAAGGCAGGCTCTGGGGGGCGGGTGCTGTGACGCCTGAATTTTGGAGGGTCTAGGCCAGCACCCTGTGCACTGCAGGCGCTGGCCCCTGGGATGAGGAGGGAGCGTGGCGGACTTGGGGTTCTCCTCCCCCATCTTCTCAGTCTCCGCCATCTCCATCTCCTCCTCAGTCTCCTCCATCTCCATCTCCTCCTCCATCTCCATCTCCATCTCCATCTCCATCTCCATCTCCATCTCCATCTCCATCTCCATCTCCATCTCCATCTCCATCTCCATCTCCATCTCCATCTCCATCTCCATCTCCATCTCCATCTCCATCTCCATCTCCATCTCCATCTCCATCTCCATCTCCATCTCCATCTCCATCTCCATCTCCATCTCCATCTCCATCTCCATCTCCATCTCCATCTCCATCTCCATCTCCATCTCCATCTCCATCTCCATCTCCATCTCCATCTCCATCTCCATCTCCATCTCCATCTCCATCTCCATCTCCATCTCCATCTCCATCTCCATCTCCATCTCCATCTCCATCTCCATCTCCATCTCCATCTCCATCTCCATCTCCATCTCCATCTCCATCTCCATCTCCATCTCCATCTCCATCTCCATCTCCATCTCCATCTCCATCTCCATCTCCATCTCCATCTCCATCTCCATCTCCATCTCCATCTCCATCTCCATCTCCATCTCCATCTCCATCTCCATCTCCATCTCCATCTCCATCTCCATCTCCATCTCCATCTCCATCTCCATCTCCATCTCCATCTCCATCTCCATCTCCATCTCCATCTCCATCTCCATCTCCATCTCCATCTCCATCTCCATCTCCATCTCCATCTCCATCTCCATCTCCATCTCCATCTCCATCTCCATCTCCATCTCCATCTCCATCTCCATCTCCATCTCCATCTCCATCTCCATCTCCATCTCCATCTCCATCTCCATCTCCATCTCCATCTCCATCTCCATCTCCATCTCCATCTCCATCTCCATCTCCATCTCCATCTCCATCTCCATCTCCATCTCCATCTCCATCTCCATCTCCATCTCCATCTCCATCTCCATCTCCATCTCCATCTCCATCTCCATCTCCATCTCCATCTCCATCTCCATCTCCATCTCCATCTCCATCTCCATCTCCATCTCCATCTCCATCTCCATCTCCATCTCCATCTCCATCTCCATCTCCATCTCCATCTCCATCTCCATCTCCATCTCCATCTCCATCTCCATCTCCATCTCCATCTCCATCTCCATCTCCATCTCCATCTCCATCTCCTCCTCCATCTCCATCTCCTCCTCCATCTCTCTGTCTCCTCCATCTCAGTGAGCATTTGCATTTTCATGGATTTTGTACCATGTGGCTCTCTATAGAGAATGCTCACCCACATATTTTAAGGTTAGTTGAAGAAAAAGAGCAAAATGAAAACATCCATCTTAGTAATTGGATTTGGCACAGAGTTTTCTCCAAAATTGCCCCAACTCTTTCCCTTGCTCTGATGATGACAATCTGGCTTGAAAGTGCCCATAGATAATATTTTAATTAAAACTGGCTGAAAACAAGCTTACTGTACTACTTAAATAACTGAAGAGGAAAATGTGGAAAAATTGATGATTCAGAAACGAAGCAGGGAGAAATATTAGGAGTGGAAATAGAGGTGTAATTATATTTCATATTTAACATTGCTGAAGATCCAAGAATAACAACTTCTGTGAATATTCAGGGCACATTTCTATTCCAACAAATCTTATGCACCCGGGTAGCAATGGCGCTCAGTTATGTGCTGGTCTCCTTGACTTTTCAGAGAGTGGGACTGATTTTACTTGCATAAGGAAATATGCAGGGATAAGCCCCCAGACACGTGGCCATGTCGGATAAACTGCTTAGTGTCATTGATTTCAAAAGATTTTGCAGTAGCCTTCATACTACCACTAACCCTACACCTCCTCTTGCTGCCCATAGAGAGAATGACTCACCCTGAGGTGAGAGGGCACCGAGTCTCGGGTTACTGTGGCCCACGGGGGGTCCATCCTGAACTGGGAGAAGGTGAGCTATTGACTCAGTGGCCCGAGGTCCTGGGCAGGGACAACACCTCCTCTTGCTGCCCATAGAGAGAATGACTCACCGTGAGGTCAGAGGGCACCGAGTCTCAGGTTACTGTGGCCCACGGGGGTCCATCCTGAACTGGGAGAAGATGAGCTATTGACTCGGTGGCCCGAGGTCCCGGGCAGGGACGCATTTATCAGTGCGTCCTCTTGCTTGCATAGCTTCAGCTCCGTCCACGCTCCTGAGACCTCGCTGAGAGCAGGATGTACCCGGCACACTCACTCACACGCGGGAGGGATGGGTGACGGGAGTCCTCCTCCTGTCGTTGAGAACAGTTGTTCCCTCGGGTCGTAGGTCAGGTCCCAGGAAGTGTCTGATGGGCGTCCTGGCAGGTGAGGCTGGCGGGGCGGGGGCAGAGGCTGTGCCTTGCCCGTTGTCCATTAATCTACCCATTTATCGGCTCAGCTCCGAATCCATCCTCCATCGCTCATCTGTGAGAACGGAGATGCCTCTTTAAGAGTTCCTCTCTGCCAGCCGCCGGATGTCAGGAGAGGGTGGGGGAGACACTGCAGAGAGAAGGGGTTTTCCTCTCTGGCTCCGAGGCTCACGGTGAGGCTGCTGGGGAGCCAGCCTTTTCTCGTGACTGAGGAGCAGTGTGGCCTCTCCCCAGCTAAGTGCACGCACGTGCAGCTCTCTCCAGCATTTGGGGGCCGTTTGCTTCCTGCGGTTCTAGATGTGGGCCTACCTGTGTGGCCAGGGTGGGCCCCCACAGGTTGCTGCTCCTGGCACCCTCCACTTTGCCCCACAGACTGGGCAGGTCCAGCGACCATGGGAACCCAATAAAATTCTGTCCCATCCGGATGGGTGCAGCTCCACTTTCTCCTCTGAGGTCCAGTCCCCTTCTCAGTGGGTCTGTCTCGGGTTCTCTCCCACAGCTGGAGGGGGCCCCGGACAGCTCTCTTTCTCTCTACAGTTACTCTCCTGTCCTATTTCCTAAAATGCAGCTTATCTTTTTTTACATTAAACTTCCCTCATTAACATTGTGTTGTGATTTGCATGTCCTGGTTGGACCCAGATTATAAATAGATCTGAGTGGGAAGAAGGCGACAGAATCCTGATTAGGGAGAGGTGAGCCAAGAGTAACAGGTGGGGAAGAAGAGCCGGCAACTACAGACAGACCTTTACGAAGTTTCGTTGTCAATAGAGACTTAAATGATGTTAAAGCTGGAGGATGGTGGGGGTAGAGGGTCAAGGGAGGGCTTCTATTATAGTAGAATAAACAAGATAATATCTGTATGTTGTAGGGATGATCCTTTAAAGAAGTAGACATTTTATGAGACACCATGGTCTTATTGGGCTTCAGCTTCTGGAAAAAAAGAGAAACTAACAGAGTATTTCGGATGCCTTTGAGGTGAAGAACCCAGAAAGGATCAGACACTTGAAATGGGCAGGGGTGGGGCTGAGGAGAAGAGAACATTTAAATGATTTAAATCTTAAAATCATCACCCCAGACACTAACATTAAACCCGTCCCCTTGGTTAGTTTTCAGCATCACGACCCTCATTTGAACACCGGCATCTCCCATTGGCGCTGGTCTGCCCTCTCTCCGGACTATTTCCTCCCCACCCCAGCCTGTCCCTGGACCCCTCGACACACCATGTGGCTTCCATCAGCTGGTAGGGGAATTGTTTTAATGCTTAAATGCAAGTACGTTGCTCCTTCAGGTTGAATGAGTTGCTTCCTATTATTTGTGAAAGAAACCCATTAGGACGCGGCAAACAAGGCCTCTTAGGACCCAGTAGCTGACCAGCCACCCTGTTTCTCTCACACTCACACTAGAAAGCTCTAGCCCAGCTGCCTTTTTCAGATCCTCCTACAAGCCCAGTTCTTGCTCAACAGGATTGCACATGGGAAATCTCGGCCTGGGAAGAGCTCCATCACTAAGTTCTCCCTAGGATCCCCCTCCCAAACCAACCCACTGTCACAGCTCATTCTTTATCTCATTCATAGCCGTCATCATCTCTGGTCATTGTTTATTGGCTTATTTACTCGTTCTTTACCTCGTTCCTCAACTGGATGGCAAGAAGTCCTCTGTATTCGGTTGACCTAAGTGTTCTTAGCATTCGACTACTGTGAGCACATACTAGGCTCACAGCGACTGCTTTTGGAACGATAAATTGCATTTTATACCCACCATATTATCATGGCGCTTGTGTTGTGAACAAGGTCAATGCCATGACTAATTATGATTATGATGGATCTAGTCATAGATGTTTCCTTTTACATTTTTAGAGCCTTTTGGATTTTTGACTCAGGACTTTGGCCAAACTTGTCACAATAATCAACCTTGTATGCTATTTGTCTCCATGACTTCATCAATGTAGTTAGTCATTCTGACATTTAATAATCAATAGTGCTATTGCTAATCACTGCATTCGGCATGACTGAGACAAGTGGGGACTGAAAGCCAGCATTTAGCAGCATTGTTTTCCAGTTATTCTCACCCTGATATAATTATATATTTGAAGTAGAAATTGAGTTTGTTGTGATAGGAGAAATATTCTCACTAGAAGCAGTTATTTCCTGTAAAGCTTGTGTAAGTGCAGAAGCCTACACTATTGTCCTCCGGTTCTTCCACTCTATGGGGTGACACTTATCCATCAATGTTGAAAACGCATGGCAGCTGCTTTAAAAATCCACCCAGCCATCTCTGCCTTTAGGAGCTGCGTGAGGGCTCATGGGCTGAGGTCCAGGGTGGTGACAACAAAAAGAAAACTAAAAGTCCCAGGAATTTGATTCAAAATAGGGAATCACACAGTCTGTAGCTGTAGGTCAGAGTGCCCTGATGAGAATCAGTCAGTTTTGCAGAGAAGCTGGTTATTATGCAGAGTTGCCTGACTGACTGCAGCATTTAAACTGTGGAGAGGCCCAGCCAGGGTGGTTCAGTGGACGAGTGTCGACCTATGAGCCAGGAGGACATGGTTCGATTATCAGTCAGGGCACATGCCCGGGTTGCAGGCTTGATACTAAGTGTGGGGCATGCAGGAGGCAGCCAATCAATGATTCTCTCTCATCATTGATGTCTCTCTCTCTCTCTCTCTCTCTCTCTCTCTCTCTCTCTCTCCTTTCCTCTCTGAAATCAATAAAAATGCTTTAAAAATATTGTGGAGAGCCTGTGCTCTCTGTGGGTTGGTAGGGGTTGCAGGTGTTTGGGAAGAACTTACCCATTTTCCACTAAAATCCTTGATAAGTTTGGATCCTTATGGATTTAAATTTCCCTAAGGATCGAAGCAGGCACACCAAAGGCAAGTGGGTTCTTATCTATTGGGTATGACTGCAATGGCAACTTGGCAAACACCCAGCCCAGTTTCCTCCAGATACTTTACAGTATGTCAATGAGAAAGTAAAGAATGGTGCTTTATAATATTAATAGCATGACACAATGTACATAGAAAGATGGAAACTCAACAAAATGCTCAATTTATGCCAGGTCTGGCTGGCAGACCCTGAATGATGGATGAATGATTATTCTGAAACATGTTTTTGTGAAAGAGAGGCTAAGGGACTACTTGGCTATCGCCACCCAGTAGCCCCATTTGGCTGCCTCCTTAGGCTTTTATTGGAACAACAGTTTGAACTAAAATTAACTATTCGATACAACCAGCAGGGTGAGTATCCTAGAGAAAGCACATGCTTCTACAAGGTCGTGTCTAAAGACCAAACATAGAGATTCTAGCAAAACACCTGGGGGCTCAGACTTGTTTGGAAAAGTCAAGGTAGGGGCTGCCGCCTTCAGCAAGGTCCCCCAGAGGCCCCGGACCTTTCAGAGAATCCTCCTCACAGACCTTCCGACCAAGTCCCATGCTTCCCCACAAATTTACTTGGGATGGAGGTGATAAAGCAGGCACAGTTGTGTAACCAAAACCCAGGTTCGTCTGCTTGTCACCATGAAAGCCAAACACATAAGACAGGTATTGGTGAAAAAGGAAAGAGGTTTATTCAAGTGTTGGCAACCTGAGAAGATGGGAGACTCTTGTCCAAAGCCCATCTCAATATCTCAGTGCAGGCAGAGGTTTTTATAAGGAGGGAAAAGGAAAGCAGAAGAAAGAGATCAAGGGGAGGGGGTTGAAAAGTTCTCCACATGCAGGCCAGGGCCAAGTGGTGGGTGGTCTGGTGGGCATCATCCCTGCTTTGCAGTTGAAGGTCAGCAGTTCTCCGGGAGCTGGGACGACTGAAGGTTGGAGTCTGTATCTTCTGAAGTTAGTTCCTAGGATTCTCATACAAACATGCTGTTTCTCTACAAGCTACACATTATTTAGAGCCCATATTTACAGGAACAATGTCAAAAGAATGGTGGGGTGGGTTGCTGTTACAGTTGGATTTGACCTTCTGACAATGCATTTCAATAATATTTTACAGTCAACTCTATGAATGAACAACAATATGCTAGAGGGTTAAAAGTAAGTCAGCCAAAGGGTCGTTTATGTTTCAAAAATCAATTTCTTTAATACGTTTTATTTATTTAAAAAAGGTGATAGAACTTTAAACTTATAAGTTTGTTTTCCTTTTTGTCCTTTCAGTATGAATTGCGTGTTTAGTTTTTAGCTTTCTGTGTATAGGAGACTTGCATCTATGTGCTGATGGTGTGATATTTTGGAACAAGGTCACAGACAGATGCTGACAGAAAAAGTCCAGGAATAAAGTATTCCTACTAGTACTGTGTGGGAGAAGAATAATTAAAAAACAGACATTAACATCTATGAAAACTTAGAACAAGCTCCTGCCTCAAAATGCATTTTAAAAAATTATACCATGCAGTCAAAACCTGCCAGTTTATTATTTAATCATGTCCTATTTGGGTGGTGTGCTGAGAAGACACATTATCACCTACCTTTTCTCAATATTAAAGGCATGAAAGTGGTAGAGTCATAGTATTGGGAGGTACTTTAGGAATCATTTTGTCAAGTGCACTGATTTTATGGAAGAGGAAATGGAGGGTCAGAGCTGCCGTGCCCGCCAGTGCCCAGGCCTTGGGGGCTGGCACGACTCTCCCACCCCAACTACCCTCCTCAGGAATGTCAGCCTCACACGTTTCCACTTAACTAACTAGATTATGGAATTTACTTCAACTTCCACACCCCACAGGCTCTGCTGACTGCTTTCTTCCACTCTTCCCAGCCCTGCTTCCTGCCATTCCTGGTCCCTGTCCCACCACACAGACACCTGGAGCCCGAACTGAAGAAATAGAAAAGCAGGTGGGAAAACGAAGGAAACACTTGTGGGTGATTGTCTAGTTATATCCAAGCAACTCCAGAATTAACCTGACACGTTTTTATGTTAATGGTTATTTTACTGCATAATAATCACAAATAACAACTTAACGGGGAAAAGAGGGTATGAACATCTAGGAATAAGATTCCCCTCTTGTATTTTTAGAATATGTTGTGTCATTGAGTCTTTTTAGTAAGAAAAATGAGCTGTGTTCACAGCAAACTTCCTCAGAGGGTAGTTTTTGGAGGCTCTGCTCACTCTGAAGGCCAAATTCTTGACTCCAGCAGATGAGGAAGGAGCTGGGCAATTCAGGCAGTTCTTTGTGTTGTAAGCATTTTAATGTTTTGGTATATTATGATGTTTTAATATTTTAAAATAGTCTTTCTGGCTGGAGAGAGACTGCCCCTCCCTGAGATGGCCAGTTCTTAGAGATGGCCGAGGGTCCAGCCGGAGCGGGTCTCTGAAACACAGAGCCGGCCCCCTCCGTCTGGCCCCTTCACGTCAGGAGGCCTCATCCCCCTTCCCGCAGCATCCCAGGGCCGGGTGCAGGCTGACTCGGGACCACGGTTACAGCTCCGAGCCCACTGAAGTGATTCCGTTAGCCAGTCCTAGGCTGTTCAACCTGCCTTGCTTTTCCTGCAAAAACCCAGTAAAGGTCATGACCTTAACCTTTTCCCCACGCCTGTCTGCTAGAAAAGAAATAATTTGATATTGAATTGACCAATACGAAGTGGGGAGCTAGTGCTCCACAAACCCGACTCCCCGGTGGCGTATAGGTTATGGATTATATAGAGAAAAGTCACAAGACGCTGGGGGTGAGGGGTTGGGGCTGTGCTGGGAGCTGATTGGTCAGAGGTGAGGTGAGGGTAAGAAATCGTTTCTTCAGGACTTGAGGACAGCTCTGAGGTCTTTTCTGGTGGCCCTCTGTCCGATCTCATAGGAAAGTAGCCGGGGGTCCTTCAGCCTAGGGCTCAGGAGCTGAAACATAACTTAGGTCAAGATGTGACCATTTGCCAGGTCCCTACTGTGTTCCGTTGCCTCGGGGGACAGGCTAGGTCTCTGAGAGAGGGTTACGCTTTCTACAACCAGGATTTAAACCAACTTTAATCAAAGTCCTAAGGACCCTTGGTTTATCTTTCCCAGGTGGCACTGTGAGGCAGGCTGTGCCTCGAGTGTCCAGAACCGGGGAGTGTAATAACCTTTGTGTTTTCCGGAGCCTCTCCTGTGTGGTTTTAAAGGGAAGAGGTGAAGGGGTTGCTTTCGTGGGAAATATCCTATTGACAATGATGTAGCTAGATGGCTTCGGTGAGAACCAGAAACATTCTTGGACATGATGGACCAAGATGGTCAGCTGCACATCTCCCAGGTTCCTGATTTCCAACTTGGTTTCAACGGGGAGAAAACAACATATTTAAATATTCATCATCCTGTGCGACCAACGCCTGGCTCAGAAAGCCGGGCGACTATTCATAGAACAGATAATGAAGCGCTTTCAGAAGCCCTGTGAGCAGACTGATGAACGCGGCTCGCGTGTTTGCTGGGAGAGATGAAAGGCGAGGAGAGAATAGCTGCTTGATGAAAGGGCGCTGCCACCAGGCCCAGCCATCACTGCCGTTTCAGGAGATTATTATTTTTCCCCCTCGTGCCATTAATATCCAAATACACTAAATGCAAATGTGGGGTGTAATTAACTTTAAAAATATCGGAGTTGCTTAAAATGCTCATTTTTTGAGGCTTATTCCAGAGGAGTTTCTGTTTTGTAGAGGGCCAGCTCTTGGGTTTACTGACCCATTCACTTGGTGGTTGGATCTGCAGTCTGTTCCCGCGTCTGTGTGTAGACATTCATTACTTACTTCTTCCCAAGCACCCGGGGCTTCTTGCTGCTGGAAAGTCCTGTGTTGAATGACTAATGTTGTGACTTTGTTAGTGTAAATAATGCTAACTTTAAGTGTTCACTTTGAGTATTCCAGAGAGTTCAATTTTCAATTATCACTATACTAGAGGCCCAGTGCACAAGATTCGTGCACTGGGGGGTAGGGTCCCTCAGTCTGGCCTGCGCCTTCTCGCAGTCCAGGACCCCTCATGGGATGTCCACCTGCTGAGTTAGGCCTAGGGATCAGGCCTAAGCCCGCAGTCAGACATCCCTCTAGTAGTCCAGGGCTCTTGCAGTCCAGGACCCCTCGCTCCTTACTGCCTGCCTGCAGCAGAGGCGGGAGAGGCTCTTGCCACTGCCACTGTGCTCGGCAGCTGTGAGCCTGGCTTCTGGCTGAGCAGCGCTCCCCCTGTGGGAGCGCACTGACCATCAGGGGGCATCTCTTGCATTGAGTGTCTGCCCCCTGGTGGTCAGTGCACATCATAGGGACCGGTCATTCTGCCGTTCAGTTGATTTGCATATTAGCCTTTTATTATATAGGATGTTTTGGGGCCAAGGACTCTCTCTTAATTATCACTACATCTCCATGCCCTAGCCTATTCCTTATGACATAGGAAGTTTATAATAAAGGTTTATTGAGTGGAATTAATGCAGTTAAAATTAGATTTGTGTTTTGATACTGTAGGAAGCATTGTCATACATTTCCACAGAAAAGATAAAAAAGTGTTTATGATGATTCATAAATAGATGCTTACAATATGTCTTTGTTATTTTTCTCAAAGTGTAAGTTTGTAGAAAATAAACACACCAATTCAGATTTACAAATGAAAACAAAGCAAAACACATCTATACCTGGCTGGCTGGGCCCAGGTTGCATAATGTAATTTCTAAGCAATTTATTATTTCTCTGGATAAACAAGAGTCTCTATAGTGCTGGTATCTGTGGATGGATGGTAAGACTTTTGCACAACTTCTCAAGCCAAACTCCTAGAAATTTTCTTAGCTTCTTCCTTAGGTTTATAATGCCTTTCCCCCCTTTATTGATTAAGGTATTACAAATGTGTCCTTATCCCCCCAATGTCCCCTCATCCCCCCAGTCCTGCCCTCACCCTCACCCTCACCCCCTGTTTTCTGCGTCATTTGCTTATGCTTATATGCATGCATACAAGTCCTTTGGTTGCTCTCTCCCCTATAATGTCTTTTTGTTGCTAAATTGCATCTGTTTTAATTCTCATAGCTATTACCTTATTGCAGAGTCTCATCTTTTCCTATTTAGCTTATAGCAATGCCCTATCGATGATTCTTCTGCCTTTTGGTTTAGGTCTTTGGCCTTTAATCAATCCCCACTCCACAGTGAAATGCATGTATGACTAAATCAATGCCTTGTCTACAGCTAATTGATGGTTCCCCGTACCTAGACTCCTTCTGACGTAACTTTCATGACCTGGCCTTGCCAACCTCCTTTCAGGATTGCTTGTCACTCCTGCCCTCTCCCCTCAAATAGCATCCCCAGGACCCTGCTCTTCTCGAAGTCATCTAAGCATCGTCTTCATTACAGTCACTTTCCTGGAAAGTGAACCAACTAACCACTGCGACGGATACACCTTCTTCCTTTGCCTCGTCATCACTTCCATGTATTTTCCCCAACTGAATTAATGAACTGATTATTCATTTCTGGGTAATATTAATATGGAAGTCGCATACTTCTATGATTTTACTTATTCTGTTCTGCTACAATGATTCATCCACATGTCTGTCATTGCAACTCTTCTTTAATCTCCCTGAGAATCAAGCTGAGAATGGTACTGGTTTTCAACTCTACAGAATCACAGAAAGCAACTGACGTACAGTAAACTCAGAATAAGGGTTAGTTGGGCCAATGACTTTTAGTTTTAAATACCAAACATTTAGATTATTAAACACCAAACATTTATATTATTGCCTCTTCTGATCTTAGACATGAATTGTGAATAATTTTACTCAGCATCTGTTAGTCCAATATGCATTTTCCAGTCATGTTTTGAATAAGAAAATAATTAAGGTCTATTTATAAAGTCACGTGAAACAGTTGTGAGGGTGAGAAAATGTTTTCTATTTTTTCCTTGCTCTGACTGAGTCCTCTCAAATAGTTTTGCTGTAAGACAACCTACCTGAATTCAGGTGCAGTTGCTGCTGTTGAAATGACAAAGGAATCAATCTGTATTATTATGGGGTTTTCTGTTTTTATTTATTTTATGACGATCATAAACTTGAACTGTTATTTCTTCACTAGGTGAGAGATGAGAAGGGAACATTCTTTTTTCACTTTTATAACCACAATGAAATTTGAAAATCTGGAAGGTACCTGTTTTATGTACTGTTAGGGAGTGATTTCATGAATCATTAAAGTGGACAGGGTTTGGAATGACTATTAAGAAAGGTAATGAACTACTGAAAAGAACTTTTTGTGCAATTGTTTTTAAATGATTTACCTGTCACTTTATGTTAGCGAGAGCTATTTTGTTGTTGGAATCCTGACACAGACAAAGATAAAGCCGTCAGCCTGCGGACCAAAGATAACATAAAAGAAGTTAAGATTCCATTACTTGAGCAAACCCTCACTCAGGCAGCCTCTGCTCTTGACAAAGGTGAAGAACAACAGCTTTAGAGTCTTGCTGCTCAGAGGTCAAATTCTGTGGCGGAATCATGAGCTTACAGAGGAGGTATCTCCTAGAACCTCACGGGGCCAGGGAACGCACACTCTTCTCTCTCACGGAAGAGCAATCCTTACTGAATAGATGCAATCTGTATGATCTGGGCTACATGATTCGATAACAATGGGGGGGGGGCTGCTGTAAGGGTAGAGTGTGTGTCTAGGTCCTGGAAATTCTGCCTCCTCCCAAATGCTCATTAAAATGACTGACAGGGGGTGTTGATATGGGGGGAAATCTTCAGCAACGTGGGAAAGCAGGGAGAGGTGTCATCCTACTTCAGGAAAGTGAAAGGATTCTGCCACCTTTACTGTCAAGTGAGTCAAATAGAAGGCACAGAGCTGAGGACGCCCCTTTTACAAGAAAATAATGAGCCTGAGGAGGAAGTGGAAAGAAAAGGAATGTCCCTGTCAAGGATGTCTTGGGAGAGCAGAGGGAGGGCTTCCGGGAGGCAGGCTCTTGGGCTCCCCCAGGCGTGACTGACGGTATTAGAACCCCAATAGAAGCTTCCAGCACGAATAGCACCCACCATAAAGCACAGGTGTGGTGCTTTTGTCTCTACCACACTCGTGTTGCTAGGGAGGGAACATCTCCAGAAAAGTGCCTCCATGGCCCCTTCAGAGTCCTGGACTGAATGGTAGGCTGCTTTCACCTCCTTCCTATGTTTCTCCCACGCAGATCCAGATGAAACCCTGTGAACACCATGGAAACCTGTATAGGACCCATTAATATGGTCCCCGAGAGCACTTTTAGATTCCTATTACATTTAAACCCAAACTGGATACGCATACATCTATGTTTTGACAATAGATTAAAGGGAAAAACGATGGAGTGTAACTCATTTAAAATAGGACTCTGTCATTTCTTTGAAATATCAGTGTCTTCGATAGCCTTGAGCACTAAAGGGAACATGTAGGATATACCAAATCCATGTCCTCAATTTAAAAGAAAATAGAAATTATGTTGTTGTTTCTTAGAATTTATTGAATGACAGGATCTTTTGAGGATCTTATGAAAATTGTGGATACCCACCAAGAAAAATACACCTGACAACTTTCACCCAGAAATACCTGCATAACATTTAGGAGCTTTATAGCCTCCCTGAAATCTAGTTATTGATCCCAGATTATCCCTGTGTTAGTCTGAAATATAACCAACAGAAACAGAACCAGTTCATAGATGCAGGAATGGGCTCATGTGGTCATGGCCCGAGAAGAAGCCCCCAGGTCTTCAGTTGGCACGTTGCAGACCCAGGAAAGACACAGGTGCAAGTTCTTGTCCAGGTTCAAGTCTGGGGTAGGTGAAGACCAGCGGCCCAGCTTGAAGACAGGCAGAGGGAGAGACTTCGCCCTGACTCAGCTTTGTGGTTCTATTCTGGCCTTCATGTGATTAAAGGAGGCCACCCACACTGGGAAGGGTCACCGGCTTCACTCAGGCCACTGATTCAAATGCTGCTCTTGCCTGGCCGGCGTGGCTCAGTGGTTGAACATCAACCTATGAACCAGGAGGTCACGGTTCAATTCTGCGTCAGGGCACAGGCCTAAGTGTGGGCTTGATCCCCAGTGTTGGGTGTGCAGGAGGCAGCGAGTCAATGATTCTCTCTCATCATTGTTGTTTTTTTCTCTCTCTCCCTTCCTCACTGAAATCAATAAAAACATATTAGAAAAATCAAATGCTCCTCTTACTCAGACACTGCCGCACAGACACCCTGAACAATGTTAAACTAAATATTGGGGTACCCTGTGGCCTAGTTAAGTTGACACATAAAATGAACAATCAGAGCCTCTAATCTAGAGAAAGTTACCATGAAAATAGCACCATGCGAGGTAAGCTAATATTGACACAAATCCCCAAAGTCATAGAGCGTGAGATTTCAAGCTGGGCAGACTAGTTTGAATATCCTCATGTCTTCCTCATGGGCTGTGTGACTTCAATACATATCACTTAGCACAGTGGTTAGTAGCACCCCACAATGATGAGTATGGTTGGTGTAGTCACAGAGTTAAAGAATGTGATTCTTAAATTTAAAACTGCAATGGGAGCAACAACAGCCTAACAGACTGAGAAAATTAGAGTGAACCTAAGAAAGCGTTAGTAGAAAAAATGTCAGGTTGGCGTCTCCCAAGTAACTCCAGGCTAAGCTAGCCAGTGAGCGATTTTAGGGAAGTGTGTGTCATCACTGACAATTTAAAAAAAAATTTTGCTATTGCTTAAAATATTACAAAGAGTATTACATAATCTCCTTTTTATTTTCCCCCTTGACCTTCCCCCGGCCTCCCCTACTCCCCAGTGTCTTGTGTCCATTGGTTATGCTTATATGCATGCATACAAGTCCTTCGGTTGATCTCTTACCCTCCCCTCCCGCCCCCCTACTCTCCCCGGCTTTCCCGCTGTAGTTTGACAGTCTGTTCGATGCTGCTCTGCCTCTGTATCTATTTTTGTTCATCAGTTTATAATGGTCTTTATTATCCATAAATGAGTGAGATCATGTGGTATTTTTCCTTCACTGACTGTCTTATTTCACTTAGCACAATGCTCTCCAGTTCCATCCATGTTGTTGCAAATGGTAAGAATTCCTTCTTTTTTACAGCAGCATAGTATTCCATCGTGTAGATGTACCACAGTTTTCTAATCCATTCATCTGTTGATGGGCACTTAGGCTGTTTCCAAATCTTAGCTATGGTAAATTGTGCTGCTGACAATTTTTTTTTGAAACAGATTAGCATACAAGTGCTAAAACAATCATGGTACTTATTTTAATCCATCACGCTAGCAAAATATCTTTTTGGAATCATGCTGAGGAATGCTACAGGAAGGGCCTTCATGCAAACACCAAGTAATAGTGCCATTTATTTCAATTTACTAGAAAACGATATGGCAAGAGCTTTAAAAACGTATTTCTATCCTTTTATTCCAAAATTCCACATTCTGGGGTGTATTCTAAGAAAACAAATGAAATTTAAAAAAAGCTTGACACGCACAAATATTCATTTTGCATTATTTGCAAACTTACTGGTTGAGGGTCAATCATCAGATGATCAACCAATTCCAGTTAATGAGAATATTATTGCACTTATTATACTTGTAAGGATTTTATTAATAGCACGGAGAAATTCTGTGTTATAACATTAACTACAAAAGCCCAGAACCAACAGCACACATGAATCTATAAAGTCTAGCTATTGAAACAGTGTAAAAAATATTGAAAAGAAATAAACCTAAATATTGAAATGGTTGGCTTTGGGTGGTAACAATTGAATGTTTTTTTCCCCCCATTTTTATTTGCATAGTTCACATTTGAAATGAAAATACTTTATTTTTAAAAATGTATTATTATTGTCGGGGGTATTATAGGTGTCTCCCATTTTCCCACAACTCTCCCCTAACCCCCTGCCACCAAATGAGAGGAAAGGGACCAGCGTTGCGCCCCCCAGGCCTTCACTGCCTATTGTCCGTGTCCATGGGCTCTGCATATACGCATTTAAGCTCTTTGGTTAATCTCTTTTTAAAATGGGAAAAATTAAACAAAAGGTGGATAATTTAATGTGCAAAATTGGGCAAGACAGAAATAATCTTTTAAAAGAAAACCTAATTCAGCATTCTTGCTCAATTTTGCACATTGAATTGACTGGATTTGGGGATTTTTATTTGACCAAGTGCCTTTCTTCTTTTGTGAAGTTTTCTTAAGAAAGAGTAATATTTGGCAATGTGGAGAAAAAGGCCCAATGCATCCCCAGATTCTGTGTCTCCGAATTTACTCTTTTAACCTACAGCCCTAATCCAGAGAAATGGACAGGGCTTGTCTGTGCGAAGCCAAGAGTGGAATTGTTAATGTGCAAGGAGAAAACGCTCGCAGAGTTCCGAGTGCCAGAGGCTAAAACAGCCCTATCCTCAGAACGCAGAGACAGTGGCGTGATGGAATTTAATCTGGCAATTTCTTTTTCTGCCCACAGAGAACAAAAGCAGCAGCTTAATAACGATAAACTGTACGGAGCATTAGGATCTGGGAGAAGCTATTGGTGAAGCCCCGGGAGAGCGAGTCATCTGCGCCGTGAGTGATGGGCGCGCGGGCCTAGGCTGTTGGTGAGCGCTGCCACCGCCAACGCTCAGAGGAAATATTACAGGAACGTCTTAGACATTTAAATTCATCCTTTCAGCATTTGACAAAGAAAAATGGTGGATCGAGACTGAAGTCTTTAAAGCTAACAGTTTGTCACGGATCTGGCAATCTGACACAGTTATGAAAATTCACTCCGAATCCGGCAACGTGGAGGGTCACCCATGTTTCTCCATCCAGCTGAGCCCCGGGAGCCCACAGGTGCACACTGATAGGACTGAGCTACATGTGGGACTGTGGTGTCCTTCTGATGCAGCATGGTGTCTGCATTCTCCTCTCCTCTCTGCTTCCCTCTCCTTGCCCCAAAGCATCAAAATCTCATCCAGTTACTTCTTTTTTTTTTTTAAGCAAAATATTTTTATTGATTTCAGAGAGGAAGGGAGAGGGAGAGAGAGATAGAAACATCAGTGATGAGAGAGAATCATGGATCGGCTGCCTCCTGCACGCCCCACACTGGGGATTGAGCCCACAACCTGGGCCTGTACCCCGACCAGGAATCGAACCCTGATTGCCTGGTTCATAGGTTGACGTTCAACCACTGAACCACACTGGCCGGGCAATATCATCCAGTTACTTCTTATCAGTTCCAGGGTGTCTCTTAATGGCTCAGTCAAGCAAAAATTGAATTTGTCACTGTTTCCTGGCTCTGTTGTCCACCACTGCCACTCACAGGATTTCGCTTCCCAACCTATGGCCGTACTTTGCTGGGCTCCTTTGTGGGTACGAGGACCCAGCTCTTTTAGATCCGCTCCAGCTTTCACTACCACCCACTCCCGCATCTCCTGCGTAGGCTTCAGGCCCAGGGTGTGGGTAGCTTGGGTCCCCTCCCATCTCTGCTGGGCACGTGCAAGCCCTCAGTCTACCGGATGCACGGAGAGTTTATCAAGCCCCCCATGATGGTCTCACCTAAAATTTCCTGTTTAATCCTCAGTAATCTTCGGGCCATCGCCTGCTCCACCAGAACCGGAACCCTGGGCAAGCTGCTGGCTCTCCCTGTGTCAGGCCACGGACTCAGTCTACCGGATGCACGGAGAGTTTATCAAGCCCCCCGTGATGGTCTCACCTAAAATTTCCTGTTCAATTCCCAGGAATCTTCCGGGCCATCGCCTGCTCCACCAGAGCCGGAACCCTGGGCAAGCTGCTGGCTCTCCCTGTGTCGGGCCACGGACATGCTCAGTGTGATGGGCATCCTCCAAGTCAATCAAGTGAGCCCCCTCCAGCAGGCACGGCAAAGGGCCGGTTTCCCCTGTCTGTCCCGCCCTGGCCGGAGCACCAGGGCTGCTGGGCCGTGGATGGCAGCAACTGCAGGCATGAATGCCGGCACCTCATACAGCTCGAGTCTGACTTGCAGTAGTTTTCATGAGTAAACGCTTCTCAGTTTGGGGTATGCCTTTGATCAACTTCCAGAGCGCTGGCATTGATGTTTCTGACGGTTCTGTCGCATTTTACAGCAACTATTTTGGAAAAGGGTTTGTTGGGCTCCCAATGCCATCATGCTGGCAGGGAGAACTGCGGAGCGAGAATTTTAGAACAAGTCACATCTGTAAAGACATTTGAAAGTGAACAGAAAGACATACCGTGAAAATGAGTCAGAAAATAAATGGCCCGTGTGTCATTATTTAACATAGAACTTGAGGACACATTCCAGCCAAGAGAGAGACATGGAAATGTCACACTCAAGAACAGGAAAGTCATGAGAGAAGTAGACTTGTAGGCCATTTTTCATATCTTAGTTTGAAAATCAGATTTAGAAATTTTGTTGCTATTGTGGTCTTAGTTATTTTTCTGGGGCATTTTTGTTGTTGTTGCTGATGGACAACCATGCCCCCACCCCCCCTTTCTTTTCTTTTTTAATCCTCACCTGAGGATATTTTCCCATTGAATTTTAGAGAGAGTGGGAGGAAGGGGAGAGACAGACAGAGAGAGAGAGAGAGAGAGAGAGAGAAACATCGATGTGAGAGACACACAGCGATTGATTGCCTCCCACACGTGCCCCAGCCAGGGCCGGAGACTGAGCCTGCAACTGAGGTACGTGCCCTTGACCTGATGGAATCTGGGGCCCTTCAGTCCATTGGCCGACGCTCTATCCACTGAGCCAAACTGGCTGGGGCTCGTGGCCCTTTCTCTGCAGTGTTTTATTCCCGTGTTGATTTTGTTCCTTTCCCAGAACATTGGATTCTATTTTTTCCTCCTGACCATCATTTGTCAGCCCCAAGCCATCTCTTGTCCACTTAATACAGCAAATGGTGTTCTTTTTCAGCAAGTTCTAAAAATGACAAAATTATTGGCATAGTTGGCAGCTTGCACCAAAGGACTTAATTTTATGGAGATACTTAATTTTCCTCAGCAGAAGCAGAATTACATAAAACAACATAAAAGCCATTTTTACTTCTAATTAACTTGAATAATTTTTCCTGCCTCTTAAGAGTTTATATTAAATTAATTGAGCTACTCTTTTTTCTTTTCTTTTTTTTAAAAAGGGCATTATCTTTCAAAAGCCCTTCTTCTTGTCTTCTCCCTATATGGATGTGTTTTGTGTTAACAGAGTTATGATCTAGAACATACCGTATGATCTCTGTTAAAGGTTTTGCCTGGAAAAAATGGAAGCTATTTTAAAATATTTGCCATTTTAAAAATCCCCGTCTGGCGTGCAGCCTGGGCTTCGGCTCTCCTCTCCCTCATTTAAGAACCTACTTATAAACACTAGGAGAAGATGCTCATTCATGGCATTGAGAAGTAATAAGACATGTCACGGATCTGGAAGGCACATGGAGCCGCACTGGAGCTCACAGTCAGCAGCTCATCTTGACAAAGACTTCATTCCTGGATGACTTTAAGAATTTATTTTCTTCACAAATTCCAACTAAAAACACATCATGCTTAGAAACGTCAGCAACAGAGCAGGTCCTCGCCGGGGAAACAGCTCTGTTGGTGGTCTCCGCCTCCGGCTGCAGTGTGGCCAGGACTGTCGCAAGCGCAGGGTGGGCGGGAACAGTGACCTCAGCAGGGAGCGTTTGGGAGGGCAACTCTGGGGACCAAATGTTTGATGGGCGCCCATGCACCCTTCTGTGGGTCAAAAATACCCCAAAGAACATAAAGAGGCAATAGCAAATCTTGAAAAACTGTCTGCAGGGATTCCAAGATTAACGGTGAATATGTGGCCCGGCCGGCCTGGCTCAGTGGCTGAGCATCGATCTTTGAACCAGGAGGTCACAGTTAGATTCCCGGTCAGGGCACATGGCCGGGTTACAGGCTCGATCCCCAGTGTCAGGCGTGCAGGAGACAGCTGATCGATGATTTTCTCTCATCATTGATGTTTCTCTCTCTCTCTCTCCCTCCCCGTTCCTCTCTGAAATCAATAAAAATATATTTATAAAATATGAATACGTGTGTGTGTCCGGGGTCCCTGAGTCGGCCCCCTGGGTTGGTGATTCTCTGGGAGGACGCACAGGACTCGGCCTGCGGTCACACTCATGGCCACATTGCTGTAGAGAAAGGACACAGAGCGAATCGCAGTAGGGAGAGGAGCTGGGTGAAGCCAGAGGGGTCAGGGGCGAGGCTCTCAGGCCCTCTCCCAGGGACTCACAGAGGCCAGGCCTAATCCCAAACAGCGTCAACTGTGACAAAGGAAGTTAACTACCTGGGAGCCCATGGGAGACGCAGTGCCCAAGGACTCAACTGGTGTGAGCCCAGGGCCCCCTCTGCCCAGCATGTACCCAGACCCAGGCTCCCAGAGGGGAGCAGGTGTCCGACACAAGCACATTGTGTGCAAACAGTTAAGTGCAGTGAGTGCTCCCATCACAGAGGGAACGGGGAGGACACTCCAAATACAAGTTGCTGGGTGCCACCGGGCCCTGCCTTGCAAGCAGGTCTTTCTAGTCTGCTCTCTGAACTCCTTTCTCAGTTTACTTTATAATTCTGTAAATCAGGATTAAAAAGGCCAAGACTTTAGTGGAAGAATGAATAAAACATATGGGTAGACAATTAACAAAATTTTAAAAATATCAATGTCTATTTATTTTATTTTATTTTTTTAATCTTTAATTTCTTTATTGGTTAAGGTATTACAAATGTGTCCTCAT